GGCACATTGATAAAATTAGAGTCCAAATGGGGCACATTTGAGGCATGTGGAAGAGACCTAAGTCCAAATGGGGCACATTTGAGGCACATTTTTAAAATTAGAGTCCAAATGGGGCACATTTGAGGCACATTGACAAAATTAGAGTCCAAACGGGGCACATTTGAGGTATACTTTAAAAATACCCCAGAAGTAGAGGTACATTTTAGGCATGCCTAAAATGTACCTCGGGCCAAAGGTACATTTTAGGCATGAAAAAGGCATGAAAAAGGCATGCCTCAATGTACCTTTTTTTAGCCTGGGGAAACACTGTGTTCACTCAGAGTTTAATTCATTCACCCCTACGTACCTACAATAGACTTGCCCAGTCTTTGATTTGGTAAGGTTCAAATGTGACTTTAGGGGTGAATGGGTTAAGTAGAAATAGTGAATGGTAGAGAATATTTGACTTTTGTCACATGTAAAATATCAAACATTCCTGGACCTCTGTTCAGTGTTGAAATTATCATCTATATTTCCGTGAAGGTTTAAAAACATCCTCCACTTGAACATATTATTGATAACAAATGAAAACAAAGTCTATATACATGTATGTTTATCTAGATATATAGTCACTACTGTCCCAACTAGACACTATTTAATAAACTGGCTAGCAGATATAATAAGCTGTAGAAATCGTCTAAATAAGTAAAAGTAACGAAAGACTTTAAACGCTGAAATGTGTGATAAACAAGGAAAATGAAATCTGGTGGTGATTAGGAAAGGAAAATTGTAGAAGCCTTAAAATAAAACCCCATAATGAAACCGATGATGAAAGCATGAAAATAACAAAATCATGAAAATAATGTTGAAAATGAAAAAGATGATGTATGGTGATGCTGCTGCTGCTGCTGCTGCTGATGATGATAAATGATGATGATGATGATGATGATGATGTATGATTGCAAAAGATGTTCAAGTTTAAAGATCAAACAGTGATGATTATATATAAAACAGTGGTGATTATATATGTGATTATCATATACGGTTGAGATTTGTTTATCAAGGTAAAATACACATTTATTTAGTAAACATATTGTTTTCCTCTGACCATTGTGTACACATCTCATTCATTAAACCTGAGCCCTGATCATGCAGACATGACAAGTAGTGCAAGTTTGCTGTCCTGATAAGAAAAAAAGTCCAGAGTTGTCTCCCTTCCACTGATTCCTTTAGAGAATAGATATCAATTTTAAGCGTGATGGCCATGCTTTTTCTGCTATTATGAACAAAATTAGCCAGATATGTAATTTACAGTATATTGATCAATCCCATTATATTTCCATATGCTTCAAAATCCCAACCCTTAAGCTGCAGCTGGGAAATGCATTTTCTTGGTGTAGAAAAAGGCCGAGACTTCTTGCAATAAAACTATCTAAGTTTTACTTCGGCATGTTTTTCATTAAAATTATTATTTTCTTATTTATCTTTTGAATTAAATTTGATTGTGGTACTAATGGAAAATTCAGAACTTCGTTGACAATAAAAAGCCCAAAATGCTTGATATTTTTTCTAATTATCAAATATTGCCAACACTCAGCAGTAACGCATTTTTTATAGACAATTACTAACCAACAGAGTAGTGTGACTGTCAGAACTATGTAGCAAAAGTGGACTTTTTTTAATTAATGTAAGTAACCAAAGAGTCATGAAAAAAATTCCTGGAAAACTACATCAGCAAATGTTGGCAAGAGATTTAGTTGCAGTTTGCAAGTTTTTATGATGTGCACACACACACACACAGGAAATGAAGTGCAATATATAGGGAAAATGCAGCAAAGATCTTTCAAAAAAATATGAAAGATTTTGATTGGTTGAAAAATAGGGTCAAAGGTGAAATATGAGGCAGTGTCAAAGGTCAAAGATATATAATTTGGGGATGCAACTGATACAGAAGTACAAAGGTCAAATGCATGTTGCTATGGATATTTAGGTACCGACAAAAAACTTACCACCATTTTCAGCTAAAATGTAAAGAGAGTGAAAGTGTGACACTTGGGCCAACTAAGTGATAGCTACTCAGTGTCTATGGTAAAGGCATCTAACCATTCATTAGTCGGGGAATAAATCTAACTAATTTGTATCGTTTCAGACTTGAAATACATAGAACAGTCTGACTGAATGTACATTACCTCATTCACCCCTACATGTTTAAACTGAACTTGCCCAGACTCTAATTTGGTAAGGTTCAAATGTGACTTTAGGGGTGAATGGGTTAATACCTTGGTACAGAGAAAAAAAAACCAAGACATTAAATTCTTTCGATAATGAGGAGTTTTTTCCAATATACATTATCTATAAGACTACAGAATCCTACTGTAAATCGCTTAATGAATTATCAAAAAGTCAATTTTACATACTTATTAAAATTCAAAAATATATCTTGTGTCATAGGATCCAAAATGATCTACCTCTGATAAATTGTACAAAAATACAAATATATCATCCGAGAAAAAATATTAACTTAACAACTCATTCACCCCTGAAGACACATTTGAACTCTTCCAATGCAAAGATTGGAATAGTTCATTATGAAATTTAAGGGGTGAATGAGTTAAATGTCATAAAAATCACTGACTCTTCATACAGCTCGGACTTAATGATATGACCTACAGGTAACAACGTTGTGATGTGAGATAAAACACTGTTATATAATCATGTAGTGGTATGTACCAGGTATACTTACAAAATATAACATCCTCCCAGTGGTCCTTGCCAAGCGACTTAGATCGGCGAGCGGCTTTACGTTTAAAAAGGAGGCTGCGACTCTTGGACGGCGAATTCTCCTTCTCCTCCTCGGACTGTTGCTTGGTGATAGCTAGTTGTTCCGCTCTGAAATATACAAAACATGTACTTTTTAAACACCTTTCATGGAAAATACAATTAGTCTACAAGTCTGAACAGAATTGGATTTTATTTCAAAACCCTGAAGTTAATCTTAACTCCCCCCTGCTCTCCAAATTCCAGAAATTTTCAATCTTGTCTCTGATAGAACATTTCAATATACTGTATTTTACCTTATAACTGCCACAGTCACTAATCAATTCAGGAAAAGGACTGTAGAACCTTCGAAACTCACAATTAGTCATAATAGACTCCAATTGTCAAGTTAGTTGGTAAATTCTGGCAAATGAATGAAATGCTCAGATCATCAAAAGAGTAGATGGCGTTTTTTAGGAATATGGTACATTGATATAATGCTGTTACAAATAGGCAATAAATAACTTAAAATATTTGTCAGATCAAAATGTGAAAGAACCATCTCAAACCTATTTCCATGCTATCTCTGTCTTTGTCCCTATTGAACTCAATCACCCCTGAAGACACATTTAAACTCTTCCAATTCAAATGTTGGAATAGTTCATTATGAAATTTCGGAGGTGAATTTGTTAAGCCTCTGTCTTACCTGTTTTTATTAGGTATAATGCCTTTCTGTGTTTCCTGGTTATTACGTCCGACCCGGGTCACAAGCCACGACCCGACCACGCCCCTAAACAGCGTGTCCTTGACATGGAATATATCGCCCGTTGTAAAGGACAGCTCGCCCTGTTCTCGTTGTTCATAGGCAAAATGTGTTCTATAAAATCAAACAAGGGGAGATAAAAATCTCTACAAACATTTAAGCAATGTAGGTTTATAATATTTCAGTTTCTAATAAGTATTATTTATCATATTTCCGACAAAATTTAACGTTCATAAAAGCACTACTTTCATATTTTTCAAAATGAAAAAGTCAATTTCGTCTCGAAATTATTCATCAGAGTGGATAGTATATTTGAATATGTCTTTTCTGTTCGCACAACGTTAATTTAATTTCTCCTTAACTTGTTCACCCCAAAAGACACATTTGAACACTTCCAATTCAAACGTTGGAATAGTCCATTATGAAATTTCAGGGGTAAACGAGTTAAAACCAAAGTAATGCCTTAAAACTGGGTTTTAATTTGGATTCATTAGATTTTTTCTTCTTGAATGACAGGACCTACTTGATATAGAAGGAATCGCCCGCCTCCTGACTGGTCATAATTCTGTCATATTCTGCAAACAGAAAATGATATAAATATTATAGTCAACTCACATACAGAACAACCAAAATGTCTCAAGCTGATTTAACTGACATAATTTGAATCTGAGCCAAAGCATTTTCCCAAAACTTACAAAAATTGTATACTTTATGACAGACAATTTAAATCTAGCCTGTCTGTAAGCTCATTATATATTCGTGGGTATCTCTGACTTGACAGTCCTCTACCTCAGCTTTGGCAAATCCCCGAACAAACAAAATCACAGCTGACCGATGCTGAACTAATCATATCACTACACAGCCTTTAACCCTTTCACCCCTATGTAACTTTAGTAGACTCTACCATGCATTGATCTGGATGAGTTCATTATGGTCTACAGTGGTGAAAGGGTTAATGAATTAGAATAAACTTATCATTAGAAACACTACTTTTCCAGAAACATTAGAAACATTGAAATTTAAGTCATGCAAATATTAGACTGATCAATGAAGCTTTTTATAGTTTTTGTATAGTATTTTCATACAACATAATTTTCAAAGTTTGTGACTTAAAAGGTGCTTTTTAAGACAGGTGGTCACTATAGATAGGTGGTCACTAAAGATAAGTGGTCACTACAGATAGGTGGTCACTATAGACAGGTGGTCACTAAAGACCACCACTATAGACAGGTGGTCACTATAAACAGGTGGTCACTATAGACAGGTGGTCACTAAAGACCACCACTTTAGATAGGTGGTCACTATAGACAGGTGGTCACTAAAGACCACCACTATAGACATGTGGTCACTATATATAGATGGTCACTATAGACAGGTGGTCAGTATAGAGAGGGAGAGCCCTACCTTCCTTCTGGTACTGAACTATCATGTTGACACGCCCCTCCAGACTGGTCAGGTAACTGACCGCCTCCTCTCGGGACAAACCCGGGATATCCTTGTTGTTGGCCTGTCAATCAAAACAGGAAATAAGTTCTGAATTTCTATTTCATCATTAGTACACAATTTCAATCTTGAAGGCCTCCTCCATCTCCCAGATGATTTTTAACTATATGATATTACATGCAAGTTAGACTTGCCTAATCAGATTAATTATATAAAGAGTTTAATGAAGTTCCATTAATATTTGCACATAGACTGTGATTCAGGTGATTTAATTTATTTATTCTTATAACACCTTCAGCCAAAAGCAAACAAAATCAAAACTAAAGTTGCTCAAAGTAATATCTGTTTGGTTTTTTTTATTTCTACTTTTGTAGCAATCTTATTAATCTAACTATGGATTTTAAAGAGATACTTTAAACGATTTTCCCTGTCTGGGGCCCCACTTACCATGAGTATTTGATCCCCCTCTGTGAGCCCCACAACCTCTGCCCCACTGCCAGGCTGTACAGAGGCTATAAATATCCCGGTGGCGTTTCCTCCGGCCAGTCGCAGACCTAGTCCAAGCTCCGGCTCTTTCTCGAAATAGACATGACGCGGCTCCAACCTAGAAAACACAACATTTAAATATTATTATTTGTTAATTCGTTACCAATTTCAAAATGAATTTTTAAACGTTAATAAACCAAAACTATTTCTCATCAATTTTAAAAATTCCAATATCAAATTTAGCATATCTTGCAAATTGTAAAGTTGTTTTTCAAATTAAAATAGTATTTCATTTACCAAGAAGAAATGGATACTTCTCACATGAGGAAACGATTTCTCATTTTGAATCCTCAAAATGTTGCTATGGTCAACACTGTGCTAGATATTTAATATGTTGTGTAATGGGTTGATATGTTTACATATGCATTTCTTTACACTGATCTAGTAATTATGGATTAGCAAATATTTCTAGGTCGACAACCCAAAATGTACTGAGCTAACAGTACAATGAAACCATCTTGTGGTATGGAAGCTTACGTTATGTCTTTCCGTTTGCCGACATATCTTTCTTCGTGTGGACGTCTCTTCATGCCAGCGTCCATCATGTCTTGTAGTTTCGGGGACATTGGAGGTCGGCGTTGAGAGTCACTCATGTAACCATCCTGTTCACGGGTCGGTGACTTTGGTGACGTCGGCTGCCCGTAGAAGTCGTCAGGGCGGAGCAGTTCCTTACCGGGGCTCGGAGGGCGTGGCGGAGCATCTACACGGGAAGAAAACGTATTTTATCAGGGATGCAATGATACTGTTTTAATGAGGAAGAATACAACAATATGATATATATACGACTCTTCGTTGAACTTTGATATTTAGCATTTTCAGAAGTCAAATAACATTTTCCCTGAAATCTAGGAATCAAAATACATTCATAGAGACGTGAACTTTTGAAAAGTGTAGTATCAAACCTAATTTCTGGGGTCGGAAACATACTTGCAAGGGGTTTACCGAAAACCTTGGTGTTCAGTGTTTGAATTTTTCTTGCTTGCTTTAACATTGAAATCAAATATCTGCCTGGATTATAAGCAAATTGTGAAATTCTAAAGTGAAAGTGTGCAGCCGTTAGTGAACTTGACATATGAGACAGATTATTTACTGCAGGATGACAAGTGTAACAGATTTTTCTTTTAAATCTATATTTTCTGCGTACCTGTTTCCAGTGGAAGCGGAGGCCTAGGGGGCGCCTCATTGTCGTAAACATAGCGCCCGTCGTACCGAGCATGCTCCGAGGAGGGGTAGGCCCCAGGCGGGAGATTATTGGGATCATAGTTCCCTTTGTATAAATCATTGTCATTCTGACTCGGCGAACGGTAGAAGTTCACGTCGTTTATTTCTTGTTTCTTTGATTGGAGAGTTCCCTGTAAGGTTCCATAACCCAGCGAGTATTCTGCAGAAAAGAGTCATAGTTTTTGTCAATCAGTAATTAGATATGAAAATTACTCCGAAATTCATCAAACAAACCTTCAATTACTGCTTTAAAACATTATTTTATATTTCTATTTTATACAATAGTTCATTAACACAAAGACAAAGAGCTACCAGAAAATGTATCCAATTTTCCTCTTTTTTTCAAACATGTTCAAATGTGTCGTAAAATTTCAAGACCCTGGTGAGACTCAGCTTGAGAAAGGGGCCAATGGTCTTGAATCATTGTAACATGCTTATAAGACCATTGTTTGTGTATAAAGTAAAACTTAGTAGCAAACACCTGATAAATCTTAATGGCGATAAAAATGATCAGTTAATTCCTAATTTGACTTTAATGTAGTTTACTCATTCACCCCTAAAATTTCACAATGAACTATTCCAACATTTGAATTGGAAGAGTTCAAATATGTCTTCAGCATTGAATGAGTTAAAAAGTTCAAATGTGTCTTCAGGGGTGAATGAGATGAAAAGTTCAAATATGTCTTCAAGGGTGAATGAGTTAAAAAGTTCAAATATGTCTTCAGGGGTGAATGAGTTTTTTAAAAAGTTCAAATATGTCTTCAGGGGTGAATGAGTTAAAAAGTTCAAATATGTCTTCAGGGGTGAATGAGATGAAAAGTTCAAATATGTCTTCAGCATTGAATGAGTTAAAAAGTTTAAATGTGTCTTCAGGGGTGAATGAGATGAAAAGTTCAAATATGTCTTCAAGAGTGAATGAGTTAAAAAGTTCAAATATGTCTTCGGGGGTGAATGAGTTAAAAAGTTCAAATATGTCTTCAGGGGTGAATGAGTTAACTAATTGGCAGAAAATGAAGCTGTTCCAATAAACATTGAATGCCTGTTGTGAGCGGACGTACCATCATCAGTTTTGCTGCCTTGACGAATGTGTAGTTTCTCCTCCAACTTTTTCTTTGTTACACAGAGCTGTAGCTTGTCCTTGGTTTTGTCTATCAGACGCTTCGCCTCCACCAGGGACAGGCTCTCAATGGACGTGTTGTTGATCTGGAAACCAAAAATTAAAAAAAATCAAATTGATGTTCAGATATAAATTTTAAGTTTGGTTCTATAAACATTCGGTTCAACTCATTCACCCCTGAAATTTCATAATGAACTATTCCAACCTTTTAATTGAAAGAGTTCAAATGTGTTTTCATGGGTGAACGAGTTAAGAAGACAATTTCACCATGTCTTGCCTTCACTAAGTTGTCTCCCCTTCATCAACAACGCCATGCTGTTTGAAAATCTTAAGATGATAAACAATTTTAACTGATGATACTAATCACATTTTGAGTCATCAAAAGCTTCCTGATTAAAGGTGTATTGATGTTTTTTCCACTGTTTATCATTAAAACTACCAGGACGTCTAAATTAATAAAATAATCTTATTTTGTCAATGATTTGGATAAAAATTTAAAGAGATTTAAAGCTGAGAACGGTTTTCAATGTTTATGTTTGACTTTAAGATCGTTTGACATGATTTTATTGAGTTACAAGGAAGTTGGTTTGAGCACAGAATCCATGCTTGAGCATGAGAATGGTTTCATAAATACAGGCCCTGGTCTGTAGTTGTATTTTCCTTCCCCTTATACAACAAACAACAATATACAGCAGACTTTTGTGTAAGGTAATAGTCTCACCTTAAGTACGAAGTCCCCCTCCTTGATGGTTCCGTCCTGAGCAGCGAGACTCTGTCCAATGATCTCCTTAATGAAATACTGGCATCCAAGCACCACTCCGTATTCTACAATTTAGAACAAACATTGTTGTAATTTAGAAATCAAAACAATTTTAAAATTAATTCTACATCAAGTTTTGTTAAAATATAGAAATAAAACTATTTCAGAATTAAACAAAATGCATTGAATTCTTAAATTAAAAAAAAAAAATGCTGGATTCTAAAATCAAAATAATTTTTGTTTCATTATGAATTCAAATAGAATTTTGTTGCACTATATGAATATTACAGATTTCTGTTATATAATACAGTGTACCCACTTTATTAAGGCAATTTCATGTTGCTGAAATATTGAGAGAAATGTTGGAACTTTTACTGGACAAAACAAATTTGACCGTGGAAGAATGCTCAGTATGTCATCATGTGGAATGATTGAAGTACGATAGTTGTAAAATGAAATTTTATCCGACACTTACCATCTTTTCTGTTGCGCTTGGATAGCGTAATTTTGAGGGGCGTGTTGCTCTCAGTTTCCATGGGTGTCGGTAAAAGTACCCTCCGACGAATAACCTGAAATAAAACAATATCAAATACTTTTACCACTGAAATGTAAGGTTTTACAGCCAAAACAAAGTTTTTTTCTTCTTTAATGAATAACATTTTTTATCATTTTCACACTTACGGTAACTAGCGAATCAGAGAGCAGGGTTAAGAACAAAATTTAATGTAAAAAATAACATTAACTCATTCACCTCTGAAATTTCATAATGAACTGTTCCAACTTATGAATTGGTTGAGTTCAATGTGTCTTCAGGGGGTGAATGAGTTAAACATTGTCAATATTGAAATCAGAATATTCCTGACATTGTATACATTTTATTTTTTGGTCAGATAAACTTTTTGTTCACAGAAGCCTGTATATTTATAAACATGCTGAAAAGGTGGATTTTTTAACCACAGCCTTGATACCTGGTGGTGGGTCCCCTGTATCTTACTCTGAGGTTCTCACGCGAGTACCTACCAAAGTGACGGTGTTTCCGCTTTCCTTGAGAACGGTGATGGCAGCCGAATGTTCTACGTTATCAAGAAGTATTCCATTCACGGATGTCACCCGGTCATTGATCCTGGAAAACATCAAACAAAATCTTCGTTATTTTTGTATCATCCATAATTGTAATTTTACCTGTGAAACTGAAGATTTCGTTATTTTTGTATCATCCATAATTAGAAATCACCTGTGAAACTGAAGATTTCGTTATTTTTATATCATCCATAATTAGAAATCACCTGTGAAACTGAAGATTTCTAATTTTTGTATCATCCATTATTAGAAATCACCTGTGAAACTGAAGATTTTATAAGTGATATCACACAAATAATTTCAGACATGCCTAAACTTGAATAGGATCACCTTGAAAAATACCAACTTTGTATATCATCTAAGAAAAACACGAAGTGATACACATGTAAAAAAAAATGCCAAAAATTACAAGTGACACCTCCTGTAATGTCACTTGGAGTTAAAAAAGTTTCAATTTTCACAACCTGAACAATTGTTTTTATAAAACACCTGATTATATTTTCACTCCAGTCTTCATTGGAACTAACTCACTTTTCATTTCCTGTACAAAGTTTCCCGAAACAATCCATTTTGATCACAACTATTACGCCATTAATGAGAGGGAGACCAGGCTGGCTAACAGGACGGCCGCAGCCTAGCACCTGACAGATCCAATCATCTGTATACTATCTGTAGACATGTGACGTTACACAGGTTTAATTAACGAATACCTCGTCCTGCCAATTATCATAACATATCTCTCTAATGTGTTTCTCGGCAAGTCTAAATTATGCTGGTTTATGGTAATAGAAATATTACCATAGAAAATGACACCAAAGTATGACTCGAGGAAATCTCCGATCTCGCTACATTCCTTAATTTTTTATAAGAACACAGATTCTGTTGATATGAAATAGTTTCAGGACGGTAATATCTTAGTGAAGCGGAACTTTATCGAGACTTTATTGTAGTATTGTTAGCTTAGCTCTTTCACCACTCTTAACCATAATGGACCTATCCAGATCAATGCATGGTAGAGTCTACTAAAGTTACATAGGGGTGAAAGGGTTGAAGACCCATGAATCAAATTTTCAAATTCAAATTTTTTAAATCCCTACTAAATTTAAGATGCATCCTAATTAATGTCCTTATGATGGTTATTTTCAAGATCACACATGAGATGAGGTTTAAATTTAAATTTTAATATTTCAAAAAATATCAGAGATTCCAAATTTACTTGAATTTGTGAAGGTGAATATTACATTTCACCGGGCGGCAGTCACAGCCAATTTCCTCTTGGAACGACCGGTATATAACACAGAACAAAGGGCGAGAGTTTCCTGGTATTCAGTATCGCTGTCAATGTTTTCTTTGAATGAAAGGTATATAACACCGAGCGATTCCGAATGGCACCCTTTATTTCCCACATACAGACCCCTCTCTATTCCCTATATACATGTATACCCCAGAATCTAATTTCACACGTTCTGATTGACATGTCTGAAGATTGTAAATTAATTAGAGCTAGGATCCCTTAGGGATAGCAATGTCCATGTTCTCAGACCGGATAATTAACTGTAAATGTCTGACAAGGTCGTACATCCAAGGTCACAGTGCTGAAGTGTCTATATATAGCACCAAGCTGATAATATCATACCGTATTTGCAAAACCTTCATCTTTAGGAATTTTTGTCATTTATCTTTTTTTACTATTAACCCTTTCACCAGTGTAGACCATAATGGACTCATCCATATCAATGCATGGCAGATTCTACTAAAGTTACATAGGGGTGAAATCATATAACTTGTCGGATCATTGAACTGATTATTGATTATTGTACTGAGATTGATTGATCAGGCCATAGCAGGGACTAAGTTAAGAAGAAGAAGATGACAAGTAAGAGGATTATGTTTATCATATATTTATGAAATCTACATATACATGTCCATATATACTGTATGTAGTAATATATGGAATGACAGAGGGAAACAAATTCTCCAGGTTTGTAGTGCGAGACAGTGCTATCGAAAATAAATTAAATTTTACAAAACTCACACACAGAAACCTTTATAATTTTCTTGTGCCTTAGAAAATAATCTATTTCCCGCGATGTAAGTGCGTTCATTCACCCTCACGATAAAACTAATGAATTTTTCACGAAATATTTAGCTCTAATCGAAGTGTACCCAGCACAGCTGAAACTAATTAAATTTCAAACTAAATTAACTGGAGGAGTTTTCTGACGTTGGAGTGAGGATTCTGGCTGATTTCTCTGACCCAATCAATAGGAAAAGGTTTTAATCCTGGACCTTGTTGCCGTATCCGGCACATTCATTCCCGCATTTGTCTAACGTTCGTGTCGATCCACGCCGAACCTTCCTTCGCCGTGATGAAACAGATACATCACCGGCCATGCTGTGTAATCGTAGACAGAGTGAAATGAACGACATTGATGGGGCTTCGACGATTTTATCAACCAAAAACATACCACAGAAAATCCATTCTAACATAAGGGGCACAAAAGTCGGCTTGCCTCCGAGAATTTTTTTTTTTTTTAAATGAAATTTTCTTAAAGTTTCATTATCTTAAGACAGACAATGTTCCAAATATTGGTTACAGATTTTTTTTATACTGAATAGATGAGAACTATCAATTTATAAATATTGTCATAATCTTTACAGGATATTTTTAAGTGTAATAACTGACTAAATGTCCATTATTTTTAGGGGATTGTGGTTTCAAGCGGTCCATATTAACTTAATTTTTCTGAAATAAACTTTAACATTTTTTTATTAGCAATCTCTAGCCGTCATTGGACACCCTAAGTATTAAACAATATGCTAAAATTTTATAAATATCAGAGTTTGAATATACCACGATTAAAGCAGTGCTGAGATTTCATCATGAAATCATTGCTAAACGTTACATCATTGAATATTTTCAGCTATTGAGATAGAAATCACATCTACCGTACTGTTTCCTTCCCATCAGTTCCCAATAGCTCTGTCCAACAAACGCTTTTCAATAACGGCACGTTTCCGCTCAATATGTTACCGTTTTCTACAATGGAAGGATCTTCCATACCACAAACGTGACACTCCCGTAAAAAGTGTGGTTACTCTGTGTAACGGAGAGCTTCCCTAACGAAGTTTGTTTCAATTACAACATCAAATGTTTTTTGGTAAACATGTTTGGTCTTTGTGTATGAGCTGCTATTGTATGGAGAAATAACAGTGGAGTGAGGCTCACTGAACTAAGAAAGGCAACGCAGTACAGAGTAAAAAATAAATAAAGTATGCGGTTTTACGATCCCGTTTTTATTCTTTTTTAATTTAATAGGGAAACATTTTCTCAAACGATCTTTATAATTTAAAAAAAGTCTTGGCACAGAGTTTTTACATAAAAAAAAGTGAAATATTGTTCATATTTGCTGCCGTTTTGGTGGGCGGTTAACCATGCGCGATGAGAAGAACGGTCCGATGCCAGTCGGGTAATATCGGTAAATGCTTGGCATGTACCAATCCTTTAGTGCTGGTGATTGTTCCAGTGTGTTTAGTAAACTCGGCCTAAAGTACAAAGACTAATGGAGGTTTCTATCTAATGGGATGTAACAGTGTAATAAAGGCAATTATAGGGAAACCTTTTATACCATCCTCACTAACGAACTCAGGCATGGGAAACATCGCCAGGCCAAGTTAAACAAAATCTGTGTTTCCTGTGCCGCGACTCTTTTTACTTCTTATTGTAACTGAAAAATGTTTGCCTCTGATATCACAGCTTGTTTCTATATTTTCAGAACACTTTTGCTTCCTGCCTCTTAACCCATTCACCCCCTAAAGTCACAATTTTTACCCTTGATGAGCAGATCATATGCTTTACTGTCATTGCAAGTTCTTTGTTGCTGTGGGCCACACAACTCAGGAAACTGACTGTTTTTTGACTTGGCCTCATGATCATGTAAGATGTTTCTAAGGACCATAACAAAACGAAACTAAGCAGTATTATTAACTAGCCTGATGGACCATGTTAGATATGTTTGTATGGACTGAAACAGAACGAAAGTCAAAGAATCCAGAGGACAGGAAACGGAACTCTTTTATTACTTGGCCTGATGGAATATTTGAGATTTTAGTGTAGATTTAAGACAATGTTTGGAATTGGTTAGATGAGAAACGGAACTCTTTTATTACTTGGCCTCATGGATCATGTTACAAGTTTGTATGAACTACAACAGAATAAAAGTCACAAAACACAGGGGGACAAGAAACACAACTTTTTTACAGTTTGGCCTGATGGGTCATGTTAGATGTCTCTACAGTCTGTAACAGAATGTCAGTCATATTTAATTCATGGCCTGTAATGGATTACATCACTGTTTAGTGTATTATACATCAGTTTATACACTTGTCTCATTTACAAGTTCTTTTATCTTCGATTTGACTTTGTTGAAATCATTTGGTGACAAAAGTAATATGCAAACTGCTTTAATTTTCAGACCGGACTAAATTATAAACTTATGAACAAGGCATTAAATTCATCAAGAGTCTTTCTAAATTTCAATTAATTACAATTAATGAGATGATGCTATGATCATTTTATTTGGGTGAATTAGGGGGAAAATATGGCAAAACTGAATGGATAGCAACACATAATTGTTTTTGACATCTTTTAAATTTTGATGTATTTTGTAAATTGCATTGCATTGCATATAAATCTCCTGGAGGTGACACTGATTATTTTTACGTGAAATCTTCCTTATTATTCCCCAGACAGTTGGCTATGTAAACAATGCACTGTGACACAGCGGTGTCTATCACCATGGAGTCGTGCCAGGAATGCATGAATCAGCCGTGGACGACTGTCTGCAGTCGGATGTCCAAAATCTTAGTCACAAACACACCGCGCTTAATTGCCTCACAAAACTGTGCACACCGCATCATCAGAAAACTGCGCTACAGCACACAGGTGTTAACGAGCTCTGTACCTTTTTACCTGTGGTCTTCTATACACACACTCTTACCATGCAATTACCAGGGAAAGAAATCGTGACATATGTGAATTAATCCTGATGCATTGTTTCAGAAAATAAACTATTTTGTAATTTTTAACAGAATTTGATTGATTGATTGCTTGAATCAATGTAATACAATGAAATACTGTAATGTAATAACAGTTTTGAATTTATTTTAAAACACTGAAAATATGAACTATTACACTGAAAATATGAACTATTACACTGAAATTATGAAATATTACCATAAAATTATGAAATATTATACTGAAATTATGAAATATTACACTGAAATTATGAAATATTACACTAAAATTATGAAATATTACACTAAAACTGAAACATTACACTAAGAAGTTGCATTGAAGCAACTTTGAAATCTTGTTTTTATTATCAAGATAAGTTTTTTTATTTGGTAGCGAACACTATCATGACATAATGGTTGTCATTTCCTAAAACGTTCAGCAAAAATCAATTCTGCCAAGATAAGACTGGGGGTTGGGTTATATGGTCCGCAAATCTAAAGAGGAACAGATGTGGTTGATATACAAAGTAATGTGATAACGTGACTGGAATTCCATCCTTTTTTATACATTTTTTTATCTAAAAGCCCGAATTGATCACCGAGTCTGCTCCAAAGATTGTCTGTATCTGTTGTCTCCACAGACAGTATTGATTTACTCCGATGTTGGAATAACACTTCGGTGAAATCTGATATTTCCTGAATCATCACCAACATTAACACACAAACAATGTAATTTGGTTGCTAACGAAACTTTGATGGGCCATAATCATAATTTAAACAGATAGGTTTTTTTTCTATGACAATTTTCATAAAGATGTTGTGAATGTAATTGTTTTGGTAAAAATCTACACAGAAATATTGAACAACTTATGCAAATTTTTTCTTCAAAAATTTTTTTTTTTTTACCCCGGTGTCATGCATAAAAAGTACCCCCCTACCAAAAAGTATCCGGATACTTTTTATACCCCTACCAAAAAGTACCCCCCCTGTATAAAAAGTACCCCCCTATGAAAAAACCAGATGTTTCAAAATTTTTAACCAATAACAGTTCAGAAGTTGATCAGAAGGTTACAGTTGCATGTTTATTCACCCCTCCCCCACCAATCCCCACCCCTGGGGCCAGGAAATGATACCAAAATAATTTTTAAACACTGGTTGGAGAGTCATGAAGAAACATTTACAGTTATGTTATAGTCGTTACCCAACCTATATCTGTACAACTGTACATCCTGATCAAATTCTGAACTCAATTGGATAAAAAAAAAGAGAGAAAAAATAATTTCATAGGGAGGTACTTTTTGGTCAAGGAATAAAAAGTATCCGGGGGGAACATTTTGGTCGGGGGTATAAAAAGTATCCGGATCCTTTTTATACCTGCATAAAATGTACCCCCCCTGGATAAAAATTACCCCCCTTGTGATAGAAAAAATATTTATCTATTTTCAAACCAATTGAGTTCAGAATTTGATCAGGATGTACAGTTGTACAGATATAGGTTGGGTAATGACTATAACATAACTGTAAATGTTTCTACTTGACTCCCCAAATGTAACTGTCTCCAGCAATTGAAAATTATTTTGGCATAATTTCCTGGCCCCGGGGTGGGGATTGGTGGGGTAGGGGTGGATTAATATTCCCCTGTGATGTCCTGTTCAAGTTCTGAACTCAATTGGATAAAAAAAAAGAGAGAAAAAATAATTTCATAGGGAGGTACTTTTTGGTCAAGGAATAAAAAGTATCCGGGGGGTGGGGAATTGAATATAGTTTGGGTAATGACTATAACATAACTGTAAATGTTTCTACTTGACTCCCCAAATGTAACTGTCTCCAGCAATTGAAAATTATTTTGGCATAATTTCCTGGCCCCGGGGGTGGGGATTGGTGGGGTAGGGGTGGATTAATATTCCCCTGTGATGTCCTGTTCAAGTTCTGAACTCAATTGGATAAAAAAAAAGAGAGAAAAAATAATTTCATAGGGAGGTACTTTTTGGTCAAGGAATAAAAAGTATCCGAGGGGCACATTTTGGTCGGGTGTATAAAAAGTATCCGGAGGGTGGGGAATTGAATATAGGTTGGGTAATCACTATAACATAACTGTAAATGTTTCTACTTGACTCCCCAAATGTAACTGTGTCCAGCAATTGAAAATTATTTTGGCATAATTTCCTGGCCCCGGGGGTGGGGATTGTTTGGGTAGGGGGGGATAAATATTCAACTGTTACATCCTAATCAAATTCTGAACTCAATTGGTTTGAAAATAGATAAATATTTTTTTTATCACAAGGGGGGGAATTTTTATGCAGGGGGGGAACATTTTATGCAGGTATAAAAAGTATCCGGATACTAGTTAAGCAGGAGGTACATTTTATGCATGACACCGGGTTCAAGAAATTTCTCTGAGGAACAGAAAATCCTGGTCACTAAAACACGCGAAAGATTTGCATGTCTATTTATAGGTCTCTGTGTTATTGTACAATGTAGCTGCATTTCTGCACAATGCATTACACAACATCATAATATTTTTCCCTACAGTACACGAGTTACAACACCCCCTCCCTATCAGCCTGTTATGACACCCCCTCCCTATCAGCCTGTTATGACGCCCCCTCCCGAGCTGTTAGCGTTGAGGTATAAATAAAATGTTTACACAGCCGTGAACCTGTTGGTCTGTGAGCTATACACAACAATAAGGCAACATGTGTCTTCATTCCGGAATTTCTTCTACGAATGCCATTGTCATATTTTTACCCGCAGACCTGGTGTTCCAAGCCCGATAAGTTTACGTAAAATATTCTCATCAATGGTGTATAAGTGGTGTATCTGAGTTATTAATAAGTGGTATTATTAAGTGGTAAACCAGTGGTAAGCCAGTAGTAATCAGTGGTATTATAAGTGGTAAACCAGTGGTATTATAAGTGGTATTTAAGTGGTAAACCAGTGGTAATCAGTGGTATTATAAGTGGTATTTAAGTGGTAATCAGTGGTATTATAAGTGGTTTTTAAGTGGTATTTAAGAGGTAAATCAGAGGTATTTAAGTGGTAAGCCAGTGGTACTTACAGAAGCTTGCCCTCGGCAGGTCCTGCCTTGAGCACATCTGAGATAGCTATAGAGGGGTCACCATTGGCGAAGTGTGGATTGTCTCTACCTCCGCTCACCGCAATACCAAAGCCGAACCTCGGCACGCGGGAAAGTGTGACTTTGTGTGTCTCCCAAACTACGTTGTCACCAACCTGCAAAGACAGAAATAATGAGGATGGTCAGATCTTTCAATATTTTCTAAAATATTTACTTCACCTAAAATGTCTGGAACAAAAAAAATTAAATCATCCAATTTTTATCAGAAGAATTTTGACAAGCGTTTCCCATTAAGCTGCTGAAAGGAAAAGTCTTTTTTTTTTTTTTATCAAATTCTGGAAGTGAATGATTTTGTTAGATGACTGGTACTTTAAAATGAATTGTTTTTGGCAGGAACTGCTTTTTCAAAAACAGCCTCTTACATTTGAATCCATGTTCCATTCCAATTTCATAAGTAATCTTAGTACAGGAATCAATATTCACAATATTCATCCTCTTTTATCAAAATCATGACAAGTTGATTTTTCCATGTTATAAATCATATCTGTTGATCACCCCTTTTTAGAAAGATATTTCAATAATGGACTGTTCCAAGTGTGTGATATCAACGATACCATTAACTAAGATGCCACAGGGGTTAGAGGTGCTTTTCTTGATTATGGAATTTATATGGTTGATTATTGTTTAAAATTTTGTTTGAAAATTTGTGAAAATATTTTTTCAGATTTCTTTGTCTTCAGACAATAATTTTGAATCCTGGTACACACGTAGATTTAGTATTGAATCACAACACATTTCAAAAATTAAACTTAAATTAAATACAAAATGTTGTGTTAAAGATATGCTAATCTGAACTGGCTTTTAGTAAACAGGCACTCATACCGAAAAAAAATTAAGTACCGGTACTTGACTTCGGGAGCTTACATCAGGTTTTTTCACATCTAATATATGGTGATCTCCTCTAAAACATCCTCCTTCCATTTTCCTAACGTCAGTGTCCCCAAACATTAGGTTGAAGATTTATTGGCCTAAACATGCCCTGCACTGGTTAAACAGTAGATAATGGTGGGAACTCAAGGTTGGTTATATAAATCTAAAAACACGGTGTAGGGTGCTCTATGTCAGGGGTGTCGGATTTATCACACAAACACTTCACTGCAAGCCAACATAAATTAAAACTCTAAGTAGAGTTGTCTGGTTCAGGGAGGGGGATTATTACCGAAACACTCTATCATGGTAATATTACAACGTCACCCACGACTGTCAATCATCCCCTCGCCACACAAAATACACACTTTCTAGTACTAGAGGGGGGGGGGAGGGGGGCATTGCACTCGGAAGGAACAGTAAGATTTCTGGATTCAATGCAAGATTTCCAAATGTGTTCATGCAATAACTCATCGTAAACTATTTTAAAACAGTGATAGCGGACCATGACATGAGGGACGATTGACAGTCAAATACACTTTCTAGTATTGTAGTGGGCATTGCACTGGGAAGGAACAGTACGATTTCCAGATTCATTACAATATTTTCAAATGTGTTCAATATAGTCAATTCCAAGTGATCTACAAACTATGGTAGACCGTTTTTAATAGACCATTTAAAAACACTGATAGTGGACCATGACAAACCCATTGTAAATTTGTACACACACAATGACAGGAACTGGAGGAATTACCCGAAAATCACGAAAATCCCCTCTAGTTAATTTTTTCCATCTTAGTATTTGCCAGATAACCATGATGGTTCACTTCAGCAGAAATTCACATACCAACAGTTTACTTTACCAAACCATTCAAAGCGTTGACAGAAACTAATATCCTTGAAATTTGTCACGGTGCATGCATAATTTGGTGTGTTGTCACCGATGCCTATCTCCGACGGCCAAGGGGGCATGCACCTAACATCTTATTACCACTTGTATGCCGTACAATCTTATTTAAGGATCCCTGTCCCACTGCACTGTGGTTTATTCCATACACAGTAACCTCCCCTTAACTTTAATTCCGCCTGGATATTCCCTCTTTTCGTATTGCAGAGTTATCTGCTCTTGTGAGCAGGTGTTGATTGTTACGTCATTTGTTTGTGCGAGTAACGTCATACATTTTTGAGAAAACAACGTAATTTTTTTACACAAACCAATGACATAAAAATCAATACTTGCTCACAAGAGCAGATAACTCTGCAATACGAAAAGGCGGAATAACTGAAGCACAGTTGGACCAGGCCACTTCTATTGACCATGTAACTCAACCAGTTAGAGTGATGGTATAACGATCCAAAGGCCAGGGTTCGAATCCCGGTCTGGCCCCGTTGAGTTTTTTACACTCAGAACACTATAATGCTGGTTTATATTTGCATTGTATTTATTTCCTATCCATTATTTCTCATGAAAAGTCCCACGAGATTTTCAGAAACAGTTTATAAAAGCTTAAATCTTTCACCCCTATGTAACTTTAGTAGACTCCACCCTGCATTGATCTGGATGAGTCCATTATGGTCTGCAGTGGTGAAAGGGTTAAGTCATGCTAGGGAAAAAGTTTGCAATGCATAGTTTAACCGTCGTCAGCGGTGATTGTCTGAACAGAGATTGTATAGAAGATGTCCAGGTCATCATAAAAATGTTAATGTTATGTTTTGAGCTAAATAAAGAAAACATATTTACAAAAGTTATTAAAGATATCATCAAGTATGGAAATCAAAATCACTATAACTTTAATGGTGAAAATCAGAACACAGCCCCGGAGATGCAAATTTGTAGAATATGGCGACAGAAATTATTTTTTCGTAAGCTTTACTATGGTACCTATACAAAGTCTTTATATCTTTGTCAGATCTAAACCGTCTATACAGCATTCTGTGTTACGCATAAATAAAGAACATTTTATATCGTCTGGATATTATATAGCCTCCAAAAATATAAACCAGATTGTTATAATTTCACAGAGAATGAAGGCCAGACGAAATCCTCCCTCAGTCCAAACACTACACAACCCACTAGATAATAGTCCTGGTATTTATTAGTGGCGGGTTTAAACAGTCTGTAATAATATCGTAAAAACATTTTACACACCGCCCAGACACACCATAAACTAGAAACACAGCGTCTATCTCTATTATACGATCCTCAGATACATACGCCCTAAACATTCTTTAATCATGACAAATATTCCATCGCCCATAGTCAAAGGCATCCGAAACAATTTACATTGAAAATCACAAACGGCTGATTCGGAAAATTGTGCCAAAAAAAAAATAAAAAAACATTGCGCTGAGTTCTTACTGACCGTCACATCATCCATTTGGCAAAAAATAAACCAACAAATCATGACTTATAAAATACCCAAACACAACAAATTCTAATAATTCCTCATATTTGATTGAATAGACCAATAAGCTGACATGCATGTTTGTTCCAATGCAAAAATAATTTTGGGTAATATATCCTTAAATATAAATATTAGTTGAAAACACGAAGGTTAAAATTTTCTCTCCTCACCTTATATGTGGGTTGTATCTCTGTCCAGGTGTGGGTGGCTGGTATGCCAGTATTTCTGTCTAACTTTGAGTGACGTTATACTCCCCTAGCCTTTGAAGTACTCACCCAAAATGTTATGTTTACATAGGTAATCCCTACAACCTTAGCTCAGGGTACAGACGGGGCCTTCGCCCAGCCGACAAAAAATGCTCCCCCCTTACCTGTACAGGTATTACAGGTAAATCACAGGTAAGTCCACATATACTCTCCGATCTGTATATACTAAATATTTGTTTTTTTACTTATACACAGTTGAAAGGCAAGGTTAGGGACAATGGCTCGGGACAACTCTAACATTCCGCAAATAACTGTGAGCTTGGTATTAGATAAATACAAACATTATTCTAAAACTCAATCGCGAGTAATTTTACACTTTTTGGCTTGGGATGAAAAGACAATTTCACTTCTGAAGAATTTTGTGTACCAAGCACTTGGCATATGAAACAATTTTTAGTATTTTTTTTTGAGTCTGACTTCTTTAAAAGAACTAATTCCAGTGAAGCTAGGGTAATTAACGACAGCCAACAGAGGTCAAAGGGCGACGTGATTCTGGCGTGCTAGCTGCAAGGCTATCAGTGGGAAGGCGGTACTATACCACCTGATTGTGTCCCGTACATGTGCACGCAATTATGGCGTGTGTCGTGCAGCGACATTTACTGTCAGCTATGATGGTGTAAGGTGTCCAAAGGCGGCACATCTGTATTATAGTGTCCGTGAATTATTTTACACCATCTCCAGTATAAATACAAACATTGTTTTTACACAACTAATTTGTGAAAAATGGAATTATTTTAAATACTTTATTGACATTTTTGGGTTGCCACACAATTTCTACCCCGAGACATATCATATCAAGGTACAACTTTACCTGGGAAAAAGCAGATAGTTTTAACCCTTTCACCACTGTAGACCATAATAGACTCATCAAGATCAATGCATCGTAGAATCTACTAAAGTTAAATAGGGGTGAAAAGGGTTGATAAGTAATTTCTACCGACTGCAGACTCGGATCACATGTGGTGTTCTGAAAGTCTCTGTCAACTTGATATCAAAGAAATTTCAAAATAGAGCCGAAACTTAACAACGAGACTGACACAACTCTAAATTGTCACAGCAGTAATACTGTGTTAGGTTAACTCATTCTCCCCTGAAGACACATTTGAACTCTTCCAATTCAAAGGTTGGAATAGTTCATTATGAAATTCCAGGGGTGAATGAGTTAACTGGAAATAATAATTCTTGCAGAATAGCGTTCTGTACCTGGGACTGAAGTTTATCATTGACCAGCATGGCCATATAGGTCAGTGTCTGCTGGTCAAGTCTGGACAGTGGTCAGACACTGGAGATGGAGAGGTCAGTCCAGGAACGGTATGTAATTTAGGCAAGTTTCGAGATGTACAGATATCGGCATGGTGACCTGAGATTCGTTTCAGAGGCTGACACACTGGTACCCCATGTTAACAAGTTTAACCGATCAAATCTCAATCCTGCACAACAGAACAATATTTGATTTCCGAAAGTTTTCAGACATATGTTCATCCAGCTGCCACAAATATAATCCAGTTATTTTTAACGACCAATCTGACGATGTGAGCAATATAACATGATTTCAAA